CTTCCTTTCCTTCCTAATGTCTCACTGAAATAAAAATATATGGAAGTGAGAAATGAAGAAACCAGTTAACAGTAAACTATCAAGAAATCATGAGCCTTTGTTCCTCACCTCCCTACATTGTTCTCACCCCTGCACTCGGACTACAGATAGCTGGCATGAATCCCAAAAACACAAGGCATTTCTTAGAGAAATTGGGAAAGGCTGAGGCTTCTAAAGTATATGTTATATGCCCAGAACAAAAGGAAAAAAGCCATCTTCTTTGTAGCATTTCAAAGGTCTGTTGCCTTCCCACTCACTCTCCCAAAAGGAACACTGTTGTCAGGAGCAATCAAGCCAAAAAAAGAGACAATCCTGACAGTTACAAAGGAACTCTGCTGGCTAATGAGTCATCTGCCTTAGCTATGAGTGAGTAACCAAAGATCATCACACAGGTGAGGAAAGCCAGTGGCACGAAAAAGAGATGCCAGTGGAGAAAACAAGTAATCACAGAACCGCATTTTAAATGAGCTCTTGTACCCTCAAAGATCCAAGAAGATAGTGCTTGCGCCAAACAAGGTAAGAGGACACCAGCTTTCGGTTGAAAGGGCACACGGTTGCAGCCATAGACAATCCTGAACATCACATCGTGACACAGCCTCTTGAGCTGCAGAATTCATACGATGAAAAATTCAGAGAAGTCACATACATGGTGACAGATTATCAGGCTGACATCAAACCTCTCGTCAGTAACAGTGCATTAAGACAGTAAATAACTCCTGCAAAACTTTGAAAGCAAACAATATGCACCCAAGGAGTCTGTATCCTGCCAAACCGTTAATTAAGGGTGAGAGCAGAATGAAGTTTATTTTTGACATTCAAGACCCCATAGCTTTCCTTCTCTTACACTTAGAAGACTTACATTGATTTTCTCAAGAAACATTCAGCATTTTACCACATTACTTCCAAAAAGGTTTATTGTGGGAGAAAATGAGAAGAAGGATTACAAGCCATAAAATAAATACTTGGGGATTCACACCATCTAATAAAGGAGTGACTACAGCAAATACTAATCAGACCACTCCCTTTACCCTCACAGGCTGAAATATTCCATACGCTGAGCTTAGAGTAACTCATAATTTCTCATAGTTCCCAGAGACTCTTGAATTGGATCATAGCTGGCTGTGGCCAGCAGGACACCAGCATCAAATTCTTCCCCATCTTAAATTTGAATGTTCTGACTACTGAGAATAAACTTGGGGTGAAGTAGTAAGACAGGGTTGAAGCAGAGACCAGTTTGGATATTACTGCACTATTCCAGGTGAAAAATGACTGGCTCTGACATGGCAGCAGTAGTGGAGTTGGTGAAAAGAGGTCATATTATAGGTATAATTTGAAGGATTTCCTGATTGAATTGTATATGGAGTAAGCAAGGTAAGATCAAGATGTTTAGTCTGAGCAGTAAGAAGGGAGGAACAGGTTGAAGGTGATTAGGAGTTAAGTCTTACATTTCAGAAATCTGTTGACCTCCAAATAAAGATATCATTACTTGGATATGTGTACCTGCAGTTCCAGAGAAAGGTCTGGCCTAGAGATAGGATTCAGGGATGGTCAGCATATAAATTGTATTTAAGGACACAAGGGCCATTAGCTCACTTAGGAATGAACAGAGATACAGAAGTTTTAGGACTAAGACCTAAGACACACCAACATTTAAGGATCAGGGGGATAAGAAGGAAGACTCAAAGATGACTGAGGAAGAGCAGCCAGTGTGGGATATACGGAGCACTGAGAGAGTATGACACCCTGGAAACAACGGGAAGAAAGTGTTTCAAGACAGAAGGTTTCTGACCATTTCATGCTGCTAAGAAGTCAGACAGGATGAATTTGTCAGGAGAGGAACAGATGCAATGGCCAGCTCCACTGGATCTCCCAGGTCTCTCTGCTGTGGAGGCATTCCACTCCTCAAAGTAGGTGGCCACAGGTTTTGCTGTTGGTGTTCAGACTGCAGCTCTAATTCCAGGAGATGAAGTTGGCCCAGAAATCTCAGCAGTAGTGCATGAAAATTTTTGATGCTGCCAAAGCACCTGTCCAGTGGAGGAGCAGAATGTCCCATTTAGGGACCAGGAGGGAATCAGATGGTCCCTACAGAAGCCAGAGTCCATGGATAGCAAGAGGGTCTTCAAAGGACCTTTAAAGACCTAATAGCAGCTGGCCTTCCATCTATGAATTTACTGCTGTGTAAAACATTTGACTTTACTGCCAGTGTCTGGCCATGTGTCACAATGGAAGGCTACAAAACCCCTTATGCAAAAGTAAATTTCATCACCATTCAAGAGAATACTGTGGGATTAAGCATGTGATTATGGACAGGGTCATGTAGAGCCTTAAGCTCATCACTGAGGAAGCAGGCAGACTCCTTGCTGAGTTTGCCTTTGAGGGTGCCCAGAACAACCACAGGAGCAGTGTCACAGCAGTGCACAAATCCAACGCACAAATGCCAGATGCTCTTTTTCTGCAAAAAATTCAGGGAAGTTGCAGAAAACTGTAAATATACCAAATTTAATGAGATGTACTTTGATACACTATGTTTGAATATGGCACAGAATCTGTCCCAACTTGATATTCTTTTTTTTGGGTGGGGGGGCAGTATTGATGTTTGAAATCAGGGCCTCATGCTTGCTAGGCAGGCGCTCTTACTGCTTGAGCCACTCTGCCAGCCTCCAATTTGATGATCTTGTTATGCCAAGCTAATACAGAGACATTCTTAGTGACCTGTATGTGGGATTAATCAGAGGTCTTGGTGTGACCCCAAGCAGCAGCACTGGGGCCAACAGGGTCTCCATCTTTCAGCTGGCCCACAGGACGGCCTCGGACGTCACAGGAAGGGCATGACCAGTCCCACTGCCCTTCTGCTCAGTGCTGTGCCATGTGGGATTTTTTGACCACGCTGCAAAAATCAAGACTGTGTCAGAAACTCAAAAATAAAGAATTAAAAATATATATATTGAAGCTGCATGTTTTGGTACAGGTGAGGATGGAAAGAGCTTAACAAAAGATTTAGGCGACAATGCAAAATGCTCAAACTTCACAGAAGAAATCTGTCACAGAGTGAAAGCTTTAAATTCACTGCAGTCACTCCTGAGAGACACCACATAATCCTCTCTTTAGAACACCCACCACAATGTCAGCCTGTGGCTCACTTGTTTCTTGACCATACATTTTTAGATCCGGCCTTTTCTTAACAAAATCCATGCAAAGGAAGTAGGTGCTATCCCTAGGCCTGCTTTCAAAGGACTTTCCAAGTGCTTATTCTCTGTTAAATGTGTGTCTGGTGGACTGTGTCATAGTGATTGTTAACCAGTCTGCACTTCAGTCAGTTAAAATAGTTTTTCCTCAGCAGTAAATACAGGACAGAATGAATAAGAGAAAATAATCTTTTTTTTTTTTTTTTTTTGTGGTACTGGGGCTTTAACTCAGGGTCTGCATCTTGAGGCACTCCACCAGCCCTTTTATGTGATCGATTTTTTCGAGATAGTGTCTCACTAACTATTTGCCCGGGCTGGCTTTGAACTGTGATCCTCCTGTCCTCTGCCTCCTGAGTAGCTAGGATTACAGGCGTGAGCCCCTGGCACCCAGACATCTAACTTTTTTAAATGCCCTGTTTTCCTTGGTATTTGCAAACCATATTGAGAATGAAACAGATGCTGGCATAGCAGCTCCAGGTGGCATTCTTACAAACCCAAACCACCAAGAAAACCTCCTGAGAAAGCTCGCTTGGAACAGCAGTCATCTGTTACTACATGGTATGGAAAATGAAGGCAGATTTGTCCATTACGTGAATTACTATGAATAAAGTCTGAAGATCCAAGATACATGTAACAAGTGGTGTCATTTTTTTAATAAGATACAAGTGGTACATGGGTATGATGCACCAAGAGCATTGTCTGTTCAGTTATTTTGTCACCTGGAGATGTGGTGTTTTTTGTAAGAGCTCTTCGTGAAGTAGAGGGAGCTGATGCCTTCTCACTGGACACACTGTGAGCAGCACAGTTGTCACAGCCTCCAGTGAACCACTGTGCACGTAATTTTGCCTGTCCCTGTGGACACGGTGGGCTCCAGCGGGGGGCTGGTGGGGGCTGGTGCTGAGAGCCGGACCCCTGCGTTTGCTGCAGTCGGGAACCCAGAAGCTGGCTATTGATTTTGTTTGTCAATGGCCACTTCTTCCCCTCCCCTGAGCACCGCATCTCTGCCCACTGCCCCAGCGGCACCAGTGAAAGATGACCGAGACTGAGCCAGCTCACAGAATCAGTCCACTGAGGCCGGGGTTCTCCAGCTTGTGACCTTCCTCCCCACTGCTACAGCATGAGCAGTTACCCTCGGCCCCCACCAAACGTACCGCATGTCCTCCCTTGGCCCTTGTGTAAAATTGCAAACCTGTGGCTTTGCATAAGGTACCCAGGCCATGGGATTTCTTAACAAATATCTCTGTCGGGATCATTTTTTAAACTTGTAAGACTTTCAGTCGTAAATGCATTTTACTTTGTTTAAGCTACTGCTTTCTGTGTTATTGGATTGTGCTAATTATTAGTGACTCTTGGGTTCACAGTAACAAAGAATTCCAAAACTGAAAAAAAAGAAATGCACTGTTGGGCTGGGTAACATGGAGATGGGTATTTTCCTTGAAGAGGTCTATTGTTTGTTTTTTGTTTTTAGATAGCTGCCAAGGTGTTAGGACAATTAAAATTTTTAAATTGTTTGATCTTAACTAAACAAAACTTGAAAGCATTGTAAAAAATTACTGAAATACCAAGGGAGCACAAACTAAGATAATCTGGGCATTTCTACTTCAGAGGATTGTGAGGTAAGCGTTTTGTCAAGGTGGGAGTGGAGGGTGCTCCCTCTTACCCTTCCTTTGCCCAGACTGAGAAACTTGAGTCACATTACATGCATTTAAGAAAATTGGCCTAATGTTGTTGAGCAGTAATACATTTCTGCATGAACTTCTCTTCTTGCCTCCACAGGTATGGTCTGAATATGCGTTGTTTGGCAGCTCGGGTCAACTACAAGACTTTGATTATCATCTGTGCTCTCTTCACTTTGGTCACAGTACTTCTGTGGAATAAGTGCTCCAGTGACAAAGCCATCCAGTTTCCACGGCACTTGAGTGGTGGCTTCAGAGTGGAGGGATTGGACAAAAGAGCGGCAGCATCTGAGAGGGACCACTATGTGCACCACATGGCCAGGCAGCAGCCCGAGGAGGCATCCCCTCGGCAGCAGAAGGCTCCCCCCGTTGTGGGGGGCTTCAGTAGCAACGGGGGAAGCCAGGTGCTGGGGCTCAAGTACGAGGAAATTGACTGTCTCATAAACGACGAGCACACGATCAAGGGGAGACGCGAGGGCAATGAGGTCTTCCTTCCGTTCACTTGGGTGGAGAAATACTTTGATGTCTACGGAAAAGTGGTTCAGTATGATGGCTACGAGCGCTTTGAGTTCTCTCATAGCTATTCCAGAGTCTATGCACAGAGAGCCCCGTACCACCCCGATGGGGTCTTCATGTCCTTCGAAGGCTACAACGTGGAAGTCCGAGACAGAGTCAAATGTATAAGTGGGGTTGAAGGTTGGTGTCTGTGCTCCAATTCATTTTCTAGCCTGGGAAACTGCTTGTGAGTTACAAAGCTGGCATAGCCCTTTGCTTCGCTGCTGTCGAAGCAAGGAGGAACGGGTGAATCTGAGCCTAGGGAGGGTTCCTAGTTGGTGTGTTTTAAGGGCTGCAGTGAGACCAGACCTGAGTAAACAGGATTATTGCACTATGCCACCTCAGGACTCACCAGTGAAGTCAAGGTGCAGCATCCCCAGAAATTTTGCTTTAAATATGCATTTACTGGGCCAGGAAAGAGGCCAGCATGTGCAAGGCCTCGGCTTTGATCCTTGTACCACTAAACAAAACCCAGAACACACACACAGCTACTGCCCAGCCAGAGACACCAGCCAGCAGCCTGCCGCTGCCCCAGCGCTGCACACAGGCACAGCTCTCTGCACTCACAGTGCTTGTCTGTAGTCTGTACTTGCTGACCTTGGTGACTGTAAAAATGTGGGACAGTTGAAGTTTCTGGTGAGTGTAATTAGTGCATTTTGGACTTCGCTTTGCTGTTCAAACCTAGGACTGACTGAAAATACAAAGTGAATTTCACTGTGAAGTACATCATTTACACAGGAAAAACCTGCTGTGTTCTGACATTGTTTGGTCAGGTTTCATTTTATTTCACTTTCCTCATTTTCTTAGAGTGGTTTTAATATTGTAACACTAATTTATTAAAATCTATACTGAAGCAACTGTTAATTCAGTGTCTGGTTTTGGAGGGAGTATGTGCCCACTATCCTTCCTGACTGACACTGGGTGTCTTCAGAGTCCTGCCATGAAAGGCCTGAATCCCAGGTCAGTAAAGCTAGTGGTGTTCATGCGTCAGATTGGAAACTGCGGTGTACATATTTTGATGCAAATATACATATATTAAACTAATTCAATTTTTTTAAAAAACAGTCCTTAAGAATTACATTTTGGCAGGAAGGATATGAAAAAGAATTTTAAGCTGCTCAGTCATATCTATCTCCTTAAATACCTTAGCCATCAGACAATACACTTATAGACTGCTCCTAGACATTGGAGGGACAGTAGTTAGTGTGATTGTTAAGTATAAACGTTAAAGAAAATTTCAGAATTAATATTTAGAGTAAAACTAGTGACAGCTATGTGCTTATAGACTGTACAAAACTTGAATGTAGGGAACAAGATTGTAAAGCATGATAGCCATAACTATAAGCAAAAGTAACACACAGAAAGTCCTTAAAAGGTGACTTAAGTGTTGCACAACTGCCTGTCAAAACCTAGAGTGAACAAATACCTTGAAAGCCGCAGTGCTTGCCAGAAGTAACACGGTGAGGAGTGCTGTTCAGCACAAGCCAGTAAACATCTGGGAGTGACTGTTCATTTTGTTTGTCTTTTTGCAGGCGTGCCATTATCCACACAATGGGGACCTCAAGGCTATTTCTACCCCATCCAGATTGCACAGTACGGGTTAAGTCATTACAGCAAGAATCTCACCGAGAAGCCACCTCACATAGAGGTATATGAAACAGCAGAAGACAGGGACAAAGACAGCAAGCCCAGCGAGTGGACTGTGCCAAAGGGCTGCTTTCTGGCCAGTGTGGCCGACAAGCTTAGATTCACCAATGTGAAACAGTTTATTGCTCCAGGTAAGCTGTGTACTACAGGTAACTGCTGATTGTATGTTGATTTAGGGCACCTGAGACTCCCTTCAAGTTTTTAAATGCTTTTAAACAACATATTAGCAGACCATTTATAGTACATAAATAGATATACAAATGGTGTCATCCAGGTGAAGTCCCTAAAGAAGGAGCAGCTATCAAAAAAATGGTCAACCTTTTTTTTTTTTTTTTTAAAGCAGTACTGAGGTTTGAACCAAGGGCCTCAGACTTGCTAGGCAGGAGCTCACCTGTTGAACCATTCCACCAGCCCAAAAAGTCAACTTTTAAACAGGAATATTTCTTGTGTGAAGAACCACGCCATATGTGATGTGAAGGTCCAGACTGTGACAGTGTGTACCTCTAAGAACCCCACAGAAATGAGGCTCCTGGGGCTGTGTCAAAGCCCACACTTCATGCATGCTAGGCAAACACTCTACCTCTGAGCTACACCCCAGCTGTCCTCGGTTTATTTTAATATTTCAGTTCTGTGTAGTTGAGTTTTTAAATTATTCTGCAATGATGTAGAAAAAAGTTTATGGAGGGAGCCATCCTTTCCTTTGCATATTTTTTGCCAATGTCTTTCAATTTATTAAAAAAAAAACAAACAAACATAGCATTACTAAAGAGGCCTGCTCTTGTACTGAATTTTGTTAATGTACTAAATTATCTCAAACTTCATATAAAACCATTTTCATTAATAAAATCATTTATAAAACCAAATTAACTTTATGCCACATTTCCGCTTTAACTAAGACAGTCTCATTAATTAGGATATAGTGTATTTTTCTGTGCTAATCAATATCCATAAGAATTAATGAGTCCATTCTTTTAAAAGACAATGAAATAATATTAGTTAGCAACTCAGGCTAAATCCTCTATGCAGAAATGTCAAGATAGAACTCATTCCTCCCTCCCACTACCCTTGCAGTTGGTAAATACAAGAAAAGAAAAGACTAGAAGACCTTTTCTGCATTCTCTCCTTGTCCTGATGACTAATCTGCAGACCTTGAAAGCCACTGTACAAATCTGCTCATTCCAGGCGACCTTAAGTAACGGAGTTATGAGTGCTTAATGCAGTGCAAATAATGGGTGAACTTTAGTTTTATTCTGAAACTAGAACTTCCATGGCATTCTGTGATATTCCAGTACATAGAGACTCTTTGCTTATTGTAAAACAACAGTTTGGCTGGGTGAGGAGCTTCAAGGAAACATTTAATAATATTTAGCTTGTGATAACGTAAGAATCTATTACTATAGGAAATTATTATGCTGAGCAAAAGAACATTTGTTCGGGGGTGCATCCAAGGAGCTAAATTTTACACTGATAGTGTTGTCTAGATTAAGGGGGAAATCACAGCCCTCATTTTAACCTTTGAACAGTCTTGAGTTCTTTCCTGTTGAGAGCAACAGATTTCATCAAGCATTTTTATAGGTACCTACATCCTAGGGATCCTCCCTTAGCCCTTCATCGTGGGCAGTAGCTGTAGACAAAACTACTTCTTGAGGGGCTTTAAGCTTACAGAGGAAAGAGCTCTGTAATGGCCACTCTGCCCGTGGAACACACCCACTCAGAGTTGGCAGTGCGAGTTGGCAAGTGTGCTAGGTAGGGGGATGTGCATGTCTTGATACCCTGGTGTGCCTGTAGTCGTATACTTCAAGAACACAAGGGTGAATGAGTTTTGAGTAGCAGAGAAGAAGCGAATCAAAGAGGAGAGGCTGTGTCGTTGAGACACGGGTCAGAGGTGAGGCTGTGTAGAAGCCATAGATGCCAAGGGAGGTGAATTCAGGCTTCTCTGTCGAAAAGAAATGGAGTTCGTGCCCACAGCATGGGCCCGAGTGAGCCTGGCCTGGAGGACCAGGGAATGGATGCTGAAAGGGAACAGACTCACCTAGAGGAAAAAGAACCTTTAGATAGCCAGGCGTGGTGGCCACACCTGGAGTTGTAGCACTCAGGAGGCAGAGGCAGGGAGATCCAGGCTTCCAGGACACCCTGGGCTGTATAGCGAGATCAGTCTCAAAAAATTTAGGAAAAAAAAAGGACTGGAGGTGTGGCTCAAGCTGTGGAGTGCCTGCTTTGCAAGCACGAAGCCCTGAGTTCCACCAAAACTAGAAAAGTATTTAGATTTTTTAAAAGTGCTTGGGATGTTTGCCTAGCATGCACAAGGCTGTGGGTTCGAAGCACCAAAAAAAGAAAAAGCATTTTATGAGTCTGCAGTACGTTTTATTTTTGTTTCATTTGTTGAGTTTTTCTCTTCCTTGTTTTAAAGCTGAACAAATTGGAGTATCATGCCTGTCCTGCTCTGTTAAACTCAATTAGCTTTCCCTGTTCCAATGCACTTGCCGATGCCCAGGCGACTTTTTAAATGCTAAAGTGTACATACTGTACCACACTCACCAAAATAAACAGCCACAGGACTCCTGGAGATAGCTGCTTGGGAAGGATAAGAAGCCATGTACTTCAGATGGTAGAAAAACCAGCGCTTGCTGTTAGCCATTTGAAGCAGGGTTTTCCACACAGCACGGTATCTCGGGGTTGCTCAGAGCCTTGCCTGATGGCCACCCCATCCATACCTCCCATGTTTGTCCATAAGCTAGGAATTTAGAGACCTGTCCCATAAAATTGTGAGATTATGACCGTTGGCTGGCTAATTTAATTGAGGATTATGACTCACCAACCCCCTCTGCTGATGACATCAGTGATTAGTGAATGATTTGAACTGAGCTGGTATATTTACACATAACAAGTGATTGACTGGATCATGTCATTTTATTAAAGTTATATAAATGAAGTGAGTTAGAACTCTGGGAGGGAATGGTTCTTTTTCAACTTCCTGCCATTTAAGCTTCTAAAGATGGATCATTGTTACCCAGTTTGGCCAGAAGAGATGCCCTAGATAATAATGTCATAAAAGTGAAAAATAAGTAGCACCAGGTGTGGTGACTCACTCCTCTAATCCTAGCTACTCAGGAGGCAGAGATCTGGAGGATTGTGGTTTGAGGCCAGCCTGGTCAAAAAGTTCACGAGACCTCTATCTCAACCAATAAATGCCAGGTGTGGTGGTGCAAGCCTGTCATCCCAGCTATGTGGGAAGTGTGAACAGGAGAATGGACGTCCAGGCCCGCACAGGCATAAACTTAATACCCTATCTCAATAACTGGTGTGACTCAAGTAGTAGAGCACCTGCCTAGCTAGTTCAAGGCCCTGAGTTCAAACCCCAGTACAGCAAAAAAAAAAAAAAAAAAAAAACACTGCACTGAATATCATTTCATCTCAGCGATTGATATGTCAGTCCAATGTCCTGCGGTGTTTCGGTGATACTTTGAGCTTCAGGTTCCATCTCACTGTAGAAGCAGGAAAATGCCAGTTAGGGGAGAGAGGACATGTGGACATTTTTCCAGGTGAAATTGTCTTTCACTAAAATGAGAAGCGTACTTCTCAGATCACATTTAAAAAGCCACTCAAACCACTGACTGATGTGTTCTCCTGTGTTCTCGCTCTGGACACACCTTCCATTATTGCCTGCTCCACCAAAGGAAGTAATTAAGAGCCTTTGGGCTACAACTTTCTGTGCCCTAGAATCAAGTGTAACAGTCAAGTGACCAGCCCTGCATGCTCTCTAATCTTTGCTCCTCGAGACATACTAAAGGTTTCTTCCAGGAACACCCAAAGCAGAGATCTGCTGTGACAATGAATCTAAAGAAACAACCCTGAGTGTCCTCCTGAGGTGATGTGTCCAGTGCCATTTGTCTTTTGAACTTGATCTAGGAAGCCTGGGTTCTAGTCTCTTGCTCTACCACTAATTGGCTTTTGACCTGGGCAAACCACTTAGCCTTCTGAAGCTTGCGTGTCTTCACTTCTAACAGAAATAACCATTTCTGCCTCCGGCCTCAGAACATTATTTTGTCAGTGAGATGATGCATGTAGGTGTGTGTTAGAAGTTTAAACTACATAAAGATCACAATATTCATAGTTCCCTTTAGTGTTTTAGAATTTATACCACATGGTTTTTGTTATTCTTGCTATTTCTTTGTGTTTTTATTAATTTTTGGTGGTTTATTACTGAAGTTTGAACGCAGTACCTAGTGCTTGTAGGCAGATGCTCTACCACTTGAGGCCCACCCCCAGCCCTTTTGGCCTGAGTTTGTTTTTCAAATAAGAGTTTATGCTTTTGCCACCAGACTGGCCTTGGACCACGATCCTCTTACCTCCGCCCCTGAAGTAACTGGGATTACAGAAGTATACCACCACACCCAGCTGTAGTTTGGTTTTAATATGCAGTTTCTTTTCTTGGTAGGTGGGGACATGCATTATTCATAAATTCATCTTTCTGAGAATCAGCCATCACCATACTATACCTACACGAGAGAAATTTCCTATTTATAATTTGTCAGATAAGATAGCCTTTTCTGTTTTATTAGCATGTGATAATTGGTGATACTATAAGCACTGTCATTGTTTACCATGTCCCAAGCCATTATCTTTTTTAAATTCTCACAATTAACCTGCAAAGTAGTATTATCTCTTCTAACACATGAAGAAACTGAGACTCAAAAAAGGTCTATTTTGCATTCTCACAGCTAATCACAGCAGGAATTCAGATCTAAAGTGTTTTACTGCAGAACCCGAGCTGTCCCCCTCTGCACCCCTGTTTACTTTACACATGGACCCATTACTTAATTTTCAATCATCTTATTCCTAGTTCCAGTGAATATGGAAAATAAGCTTAGCATTTTCAACACCAAATTAAGCACATGTACCGTGGAGCTGGACTACACCTGGGTCCAACTGCGCTGGGCGAGTTACTTTGTGACTGCAGCTCAGTTCCTCCTCCAGAGCAGGGACTCGGGAGGTTGAGTGAGTTCCACATGTGAGGCACATGGAACAGAGTAACACACACCGACTGTCAGATTAGAATTGTAAGTTCACGCAAAGCCCTGCTTTCTATGACTCGTAGTCTCTCGTTTGCAGTATTATGTGCAGCACCAGCTTTGGGCTGTATTTTTCCCTTTATAGAATGAGTATATTAGAATAATTACTGCTTACTGATCAGCTGGCATTGGATTTAGAAAAGACAATTTGGTCAGCGGTGCCTTAGTCCTTTCCTCTGAATCCTTTCCTGTAAACCAGGCAAGGCCAAGAGTAGGAGGAAGCCGTCATGAACTTACCACAGCTGTTACTGATTTATGGCTAACTTAGTAAAAAAAAAAAATACAGAATAACCTGGTGCACAGAATTCTCAGGTGTTAATTTTATATGGTGGATGGTTGTCAAGGATAAATTAGAGTTAAATTTCACGTACAAAAGCATCTTATTCTGACCAGTGTTGGTTGGTGTATTCCCCTCTACAGAAACCAGTGACGGTGTGTCCTTGCAGCTGGGAAACACAAAAGACTTTATTATTTCATTTGACCTCAAGTTCTTGACCAACGGAAGTGTGTCCGTGGTTCTGGAGACCACAGAAAAGAATCAGCTGTTCACTGTGCATTACGTCTCAAATACCCAACTCATTGCTTTTAAAGAAAGAGACATATACTATGGCATTGGGCCCAGAACTTCATGGAGCACGGTTACCAGAGACCTGGTCACTGACCTCAGGAAAGGAGTGGGCCTTTCCAACACAAAAGCTGTTAAGCCAACTAAAATCATGCCCAAAAAGGTGGTTCGGTTGATTGCGAAAGGGAAGGGGTTCCTGGACAACATCACGGTCTCTACCACAGCCCACATGGCTGCCTTCTTTGCTGCCAGTGATTGGCTGGTAAGGAACCAGGACGAAAAAGGCGGCTGGCCAATCATGGTGACCCGCAAGCTAGGGGAAGGCTTTAAGTCTTTAGAGCCAGGATGGTACTCTGCCATGGCCCAGGGGCAAGCCATCTCCACCTTGGTCAGGGCCTACTTGTTAACGAAAGACCGAGTATTCCTCAACTCAGCTTTAAGGGCAACAGCCCCCTACAAGTCTCCCTCTGAGCAGCACGGAGTTAAAGCTGTGTTCATGAACAGACATGACTGGTATGAGGAGTACCCCACCACACCTAGCTCTTTTGTTTTAAACGGCTTTATGTATTCTTTAATTGGGCTGTATGACTTAAAAGAAACTGCAGGGGAAAGGCTGGGGAAGGAAGCGGGGTCCTTGTATGAGCGTGGCATGCAGTCCCTGAAGGCCATGCTGCCCTTGTATGACACCGGCTCAGGGACCATCTATGACCTCCGACACTTCATGCTGGGCAGCGCGCCCAACCTGGCCCGCTGGGATTACCACACCACCCACATCAATCAGCTGCAGCTGCTCAGCACCATCGATGACTCCCCGATCTTCAAAGAGTTCGTCAGGAGGTGGAAAAGCTACCTGAAAGGCAGCAGAGCAAAGCACAACTAGCACTCAGCCTTTCCCAACAGGAGCCACAGCTGTCTGCGCAGAGCGTGGGCGCACGGTAAACGTGAACTGGGCCTACGTGGTGTCTTGCCAAGTGACAAGTGATCCTTTGAGCCAGTCTTCTGAAATACCTGCATTCCACGGCGGGCATCTGGAATTGTGGGAGGCACAGGAGGAGAGCGAGCGCCAGCGAGCGAGCGTGTGGTCAGTGGGCTGAATGAGGTGGTGTCTCTGCCTCGCTCCTCATCTCCGCGCTCCCAGAGTCAGTCTGCGTTACTGGCCAGCTGCCGAGCACTTTCCTGAAAGCTCAGTGTGGGGCTCTTCCAAAATGCTATTATTTATATTTATATTGAAAGCAAACTTAAGAAATGTGCTGTAGTACAGTAAATATGCACTAGTAGCCTGGCTAGTGGGCTGTGTCCGACTTTTAAAAGGTTCCTTTCTACAGATCCTCTTCTTGGAAGTGGGTGAGCATCTGTGGCATTTGTTCAGTTTGTTATATGAAGAATATTTTGAATTACGGTTTTCTTGAAATGTGTAAATTAAAGAAACAGCCAAGGTTCAGGCTTCAGTTATATAACATAAGCACAACTAAAATGAAACCTGTTGACTGCACAAGAAATTGCAAAATGTGGTCTGTTTTATGAAACTTGATCTGCAATCAGTAAAGTTTGATAATCAGCCTGTCCCTCCTCCTGCCCCAGTGCAGTGGTTTCTTTTGTCACATCTAGAACGTTATATTCCCTTTCAGATTGCACCTTGAGAGTCTTGTCCATTCAGGAAGGACATGTAGGGGACGTGTAGCATTTATTGCAAGCCTACATGTGGGAAGGGGCTGGTGACTTTAAGTCCACCGTGGCTCTTTTGCGACTACACAGGGGAGTCCTAGCAGAGCTCTTCCCACTGCGCATTCTTGATACCACTTTCCAGGCCATGGTTCTGTGTCTTTGTTTTTCCTCCAAAATTTAATTTGAAATTATCCCAGCTATTATGTAGAAGAGATGCTACTGTGTTTGCTGTCCCCACATGGTCAGACATTTATTCAGATTTATTCAGGCTATGTGCCCTTCACAGCCCTCACACAGTGGGCAGTGTCTGCTGTGTGGCTTTAGACATTATCTTAAAACCAGTGAAGACTGGTTTTGCTCGGGTTTTTGTATGAAATCTACAGCTTGGAAATAGATCGTCAACCCCCACCACGTAGACACACACACACACACACACACACACACACACGACCGTCAACCCCCACCACGTACACACACACACACACACACACAGACACAGACACACACGGGACTGGCAAACCCAGTGCAGTTGATCTGTGACCTAGCATTACAGGGCAGGAGTGAGGAATACACACTCCGCTAAAGACAGAACCAGACTCGCCATAGGCAAATTGGTAGAACTTCCCAACTTACATGACCACAATTCGTGGTTTTGCCCACATTGTGGGTTACGAAGTTTTCCCTTCGCTTTAGCCTTTGTAGTTCCTACCCGCTAGACGTCTCAGAAAATACATGTGTCTCAGCAATAAAAATGAGGACTGCCTCGTTTTTATTTTCAGTGCTGATGCCTAAGATGAACTTCCTGCCATCCTGTTATCATGTAGAAACTCCAGACCTTGGCTTTATGTTTGTATACTGGTCTTCAGATGAGGCGAGACCACAAGAACAGTCCGGTACTGCTTCTTGACAACACCAGTGCCTTATCGACACGCTTTCCTTCCTCCCTTCCTCAGGAGAAGGAAGGGCCTTTCATCTTCCATTGCTGGAGTTTCACACAGCCCCTGACCAAGCAGCAGCTTGCTTGGTCTTGTGATTTCCTCGGAGGGCGAGTTGAACCCATGGTGCGTTGTCAGTATAGAGCAGTACTGGTCACACTTTGGGATGACCTGGGAGCTTATTGAAATGCAGGTTCCAGCCTCTGGTAAACCTGCCTGTGAAGAGTGGTCCCCTGTGTGCATACCAGGTACCAGGTGACCGATGCAGGACAGCTGGGGCACACAAGGAGGGACTCTGCCTGGGACCATGCACTGCATTTGTGTCTCCAAACAACCACAGAGTTCTCTAGGGTTTAAATCTGAGTTTAGAGAGACTGGGGAGGGCACTTTAAGCTTGGTTGTGTTTTCTTTCTTTGAATTTTTGTTTTAGATTCCAGGTATCATCTTCCTTTGCTGAGCTCAAGTTAGCTTCAATGTTAAATCCATGGCCACTTCAGCTGTAAAAGCAGCCAGAAGTTTCCATACAAAGGTCAGGTTGGGCCCTTTAGGAGTTAGTGTACATACAGGCTTCACCCAAGAACTGTCGGTGTATGTGAGCAAACGCAGAAACCACGCAAGCACAGCTCTGCAGATGTGACCACCCTGTTCCTTGTCGGTTTGCAAGCGTTCACTGAAAGCTGCTATTTCCCGCTGCTTGTGTTCTCCTTGTCCTCCATGGTACATGTGGGTTTACACCATGTGTTAAATATGCAATAAGCTGTTTACTGGGCGCCTTTCCGAATGGCCGCCCTTTGTAAAGCTGCAGACTTTGCAGTCAAAGCACAGTGTGACATGTTAGTTTTCTACACAGCAGAACTTGATTTTTTGCAGATGGAAAGGTATTTTGTTTCTATACAAAGTAAATGGTTTGTGCTTAATGTAAAGCTGCTTTATAAAATTGTAAAATAAAGTTTTTATCTTAAAAGGAACATACTTGGATATTTCTTTTTCTTTGATTGCTGTATTTGAGCCCAGCGAGCAGACCTCCGTCATCACTCCTGTTCAGCTGTGACGGTCTGTCAGTCAGCAAATGCTGGCCACATGAAGTGAACTGAGCCTGTCAGAGCAGGGTGCAGAGTAGCACGCGTGGACTCCAACACTGTGGAGTGCTCGTCTACAGGGAAAATAAAACACTTGGGTGTGTAGTTGGTCAGGGCAGGTGTTCCAGAAGGGCTGGAGCCTAAACTGGGCTCCATGGTGAGGACAGGTGGAACCAGGGAGGTGTGACAAGCAAAGGCAAGGTGCCGTGCTGGGTGAGGACACTGCTTCCTTCCCAGACTGGCTAACATTTTGGCTCAGGTTTGAGGGTTTTGGACCTCCTGTAATTTTCTGTACTCGCTTGTTCTTCAGAATGCCGAGTCCCCAGATGCTCATGAGGCGATCTGGCTTCGGGTTACTTCCCTTGCACGTTGTTGTTGGTCATTAGTATACTGTGTCATTTGAGTAAAGGAATTCCCGTTGCTCACTAGTCAGCTTTTTCTTGCTGATGGGTCCGACACACTCCCATCTCCACCATCCTCAGATGCAGCCTTGGGCTGCCTTGCTTTTGTTTGGCAGTGTCTCGCAAAGCCCTCTACACATTGGCTCTAGTGCACTGGCATCTCTTCTTGGCCTCCCATTGCCCTGGGGGCCAGGCACTCCGTGCCATGGAGGACTCGGAGCTGAGCAGCCCTCCTCTCCTGCCTCCATGGATCCGCAGGACTCCTGACAGCTGCTGGGACGGTAGCCTCCCCCAGGAACCAAACTTAAAAAATATAAAGTAGAGACACAGTAGAAATGAAAGATGAAAAGTGAGTGGGCAGTGCCCCAGGCCCTGGCTCCAGTGCATTTCTGATTTCCATCAGGTTCTGTGGCGCCCCTGCACCTCTAGGGCAAGTGCCCCAAGTGTGCCCCAGTTGGCCAGGATTGGGTTCTGCAGCAGTTGAGCCCTAACCGATGGTGTGTCTGCTGCTGAGAAAAATAGGGTGTGAATTTCACATTTTCCTCCATGACCACTGTAGTTTGGTGGCACTGCTGTAACAAAATATCACAGGTGAGGGAGATTTAAACAACACAGTTTATTTCCTCACAGCTCTGGAGGCTGCAAGTCCAAATCAAGACGTCAGCAGGGTTGCTTGCCCCGAGGTCATTGTCCTTGGCTTGCTGTGTCTTCACGTGTTGCCTGTGTCTTGATGTCGTGAGACATACTGGATCAGGAGCTAGTCATATGACCTCATTTTACCTTAATCACCTCCTTACCAGCTCTAATCTTCACACTGGGGCAGGAGAGGGTGGGAGGGTGGGTAATTCAGACCCTAACAGCCACTCTTCACTCTTAAGATAAAACTGGACCAGCCACCAATGCCCTTTAATTTGATAACCCAGGGAAGGGCAAAGCTTAGAAGTCTGTAGGGAAAATTACTTGGACAGAAATCTGTACAGGGCTCCCTGGCTCAGCTTTTGGAACATCAAGAATTCTCTACTGAGGACGAGGCACCTGCCTGGCACACTCAAGTTCCTGAGTTCAAACCCTGGTATTGCCAAAAAAATACATATTTTTTAATATAAAATATATAAATATATATATAAATATATATATATATTCATTCCCTTCTCTCATGGGCATCAACAGAGAACTCCCTGGTCTTCACAAAAGGTGAACACGGAATTTAAACAGTGACGTAAACAACGAGAGATACACCATAAATGAACATTGCAAGCTGTGGTGAGATTTTGTTGAATGACAATTTTTTAATCCCAAACCCACATTATTACAGCTGATGAAAACAGTCAGCCATATAGGAATAAAGTACTGGTTTTCACCACCTCATGAAGGGTGGCAAACTGGAAGTGGATGTGAATTTGAGGGTCTTGGTGATGACTTGAATGTTTCCTGCTCAGTTCATCGTGCTAACCAGCAGCCACGGCGTCATGCCGACCCTTTCCTGGAAGTACAAGGGCTCTGCAAAGTTGACAGACCTGTGAGGGGTGAGAAGTAGAGCGGCCTCTAGGATTCAGTGGAGTGCAGTAGCAAAACCCCAATTCCCAGACCCCGTGAGTGAGGTAAAAAGGAATCCAGGACCCTTCGTATAAACTCTATATAAAGAAGTACGAAAAGAGCCTTGGGATACACAGATCGCACTGGAAACCAGGAACGAGACCGAGTTCTCCATCCCATCCTTGGTACGGTTTCACACAGGGTGACATCACTGTCACCCTGCTGCCAGGGCAGAGCCCAGTGGCAGGATCTCCATCAGGGGCCGTCCAGCTGGGCCAATTCTCGAGCTGGAAGAGGAGTTCTAAGTGCGATCAACAGGCTGCTTCTGGATTGCTGTTTCTTGCTGACTGTGTCAACTACGGGTGGCCTCCTACCAGTCAACCATCTGGCTGGAGAACTATTTTGCCTGCTAGGCTTTGAGTGAGTGGTGTTCGCTTTCCAGAGCCAGACAAAGCAAGGCTGGTAATACAGCGAAAGGCATCCCAGCGCCCACACTGGTCAGGCAAAAGGACTGCTTTCTGATCCCTTCGACAGTCTTTCCAGGAAGTATTACACGAACTTCGCAAATGAAAATCACACTTGGAGAAGTTGACTTGTCAGAGGTTACTGGGTTTTTTGGTAAGCAAAGAAGTCCTTGGGCTCAACTATATCTGCCCCCAAATCCTGTTCTGACCCATCATTCCCAGGCACTAACCATGACCTGCGCTCTCCTGACTGCAGCTTCGGTGTCCCTCGGTTGGGGGGAGAGAAGGACTCCTCCGGGGGTGCGGATCTCAGCCTAGCCCCTCCCACATTTGCCGTGACATGCTGACCCTATTTCAGCTGTGACCGCATCGGAGCTGCCGAGACTGGCACCCGCTCCACTAATTGATCAGGAAAGCCCAAATGTGGACAGGAAGCTTTTGCAGCAATTAAGTCTCCTTGGTGTGTGTCCCCATTTCTCTAGCTCCCTTTACATTAGCTTTGGGGTGGCCTAGCACCGAAGCCCCCCGCAGCCCTTCTCTAACACCCTTCTGCTGTTGGCTGACTTCCTATCGGACTTCCAAGTGGCTGCCGGTATGAAGAGGTGAGGTGAGGGTTTACAACACACAAGTTCTGCACATGCTCACAGAAATGGCTCCAGCGCTGTGCCGGCTCCAGGGGCTGTGGTGACAAGTGAGATCAAGGCCCTGCCCCTGAAACTCTGTGAAGTACCAGATCTGGGAGGTGCACTTTTATTTGCTATCAAAACTAAAACATTTAAACCTGGTACGTTGGTGCACGCCTGTAATCCCAGTTACTTGGATAGGCTGAGGCAGGAGGATGACAAGTTTGAGGCCAACCTGGTCCACATAAGTGAGACTTGGTCTCAAAAACAGAAAAAAGTTGAAAAATGACAAATCCCAAGTTAGAATGAATGAGACTGGGGCCTCTGCCTACGTTATTCCTCTTAGGGACATTGCATTGTGCTTTGTCCACGGTGTGGTTCCAGGACA